GAGCTCCTGATGATTATAAATGATGCAAAGAAAACAAGTCATTCATAACTGATGGAGACTACCACCCCACCCCCTCAGAACAAAATATGCACAAAACCCTACTGTAGTTGCTTTATTAGCATATGAGCTTATGTCAATCACAGAAGTGTATAAATGATAAAAATGACTAATATCATTTATTATACAACAAACATGATTTTATATGTAGTTGTATTAGAGGTGTGCTGATAGAACAAATACGGTATACTTCAGTTGTTGTTTTTTTGTGCATTTTCGGTCTGTGTGTTATCTGTTTTTATAGCATTTGTACAATGTCTTGTGTTCACTCATGTCTGTTTCTAGTTTGTATTGTTTTGTATCCTTTTGTAGGCATTCTTTATTTATGTTATTTTTCAAGGCTTTAGATGCAACATCTACTGATGTGAGTAACAATTTGATCTAAAAACAGAAACATAATTTACGTGTATTTTCATTTGAAGCACTCAAGTCATCGCACCATGTCACATTTAATATTGGACCCATAGCGCCGAATACATTGCGTGTAAAATACTGTAACATTATTTGTTTACAAGTAATCCAACTTTAGCACTTTCTGCGTTACGACTGTAGCACTTGTTTTCTATCAACACTTTACACACATTTCACAAATAATTAAAAAAAACTGGAATTTGTTTTAAGCCCGACGCTACATACATTAATTTCAACTATCACACTTACTCAATTAACTCCTGAGCAGAAAACTTTTGTAACAGACTCTCAATAGGACCCTGGGAGACTTCTGTATTCAGTAACTGTAAAAAACAAGACAAATGTCACAGTCGCCATCTTTGAAAAAGAAATACATGGCCTAAGATAACATGTTGTATTATCAGTGGAAAAAGAAGATTTATTCATATAGAATTTTCCCAAGCCACATGTAGGACTGGTTGTGAATACTGTTATTAAATCTGTCAACATCGGCCTACCACACTTCCAAAGAACATTGGCTGGCGTTATTTTATTTTATCTCTAAGCTATGCATGTGCAGAATAGTGCCACATGTCCACACACAGTGATTAACATTGTATATTCAGCAAGTACCCCAGCTCCTCCGTTTTTTTCTTTGCTTTGCTACTGAAAATAGACTCCAGTACATTTGCTATACGATTTCTTTGCGCTCAGAAATTGGACGTGGCACATTTATGCAAGATTTTAGGATTTGTCCAGATGCGTTTGAGACAGCTATTTCATCTTTAATATTCTGAATGCATGACAACATACATACAGTAAAATTGAATGTTTTATTAGAAGTAGCAGCTGACGTCAGCTGCTACTCTTGCTAGAACATATCAAACCAGTGCAAAGGAAATGTCACACAATCCCTAAAACTGTTGCCCAGCTTTCTTGGCGATCACAAAAAAGAGCGTCTAGGGATGCTGCAAAGTCAATTGGTGTGGGAGTTAGGTATATGTGAACATTTTGCACCTGCTGTAATAGGTGAAGTTCACTGTAATACTGTACCTTTGTAAGTTTATTCTGAAGCGATGGTGAATCTGTTGGCAAACACAATGAGTGATTACAAAGTACTTCCAGTAATTTGTACTCCACAGTAGGGTCAATCTTTGTAATAGGGTCTTCTGAGTTCGTGGGTGCCGGACTATCACTTCGAGAAGTACTACCAATCTGACTGCTGATTGGAGCTGCAGTGTCCTCTGTAGATGACAGATATGAATGTTACAGGCATGCATGCAATTCTGTTTTGTTTCATCATGAAGTTTTGTCAAAACAAACATTTCCAAGAATAAACCAGCAAATAAAAATGCAAAATGGTTGTAATACTGTAAAAGAATGAAGACACTATTCATGTCGATATGAAGAACAAATTTCTTCAGCTTTCTTCAGGTAATCCTTTTTATACCACACAGTACATAAATTTGATTGTTCAATTTTTAGTGAATAGTCAAACTTGGCCAGGTTATAACAATCTAATACGACCAGATGCAAGTGGTATAGGGTTGATGGGTCAATAATTATCACATTCTGTCCTGTCAAGTCTATTTTATGTGTTTTTATATAGTGTCATTTCATTTTCAGATGATACTTTGGCCACACAACATGCTCAGTGATGCTACCGTTTAGAGTTAGGTGTTAATGCGACTTATTTTACCATGACACGAGTCAGGGCCGTCCATGAATGATAAAATGTGTTGTTAGTGAATCACATGAAAAAATTTTGCTTCATACAAAATAGATACAAATTATTCATTTTGCTTTTCCATAGCAGAGTCAGACGGTTACTGATGCAATGTTTGTGCTTTTTCTTTGTAAACATGTGTCACTAAAATCAACAACATACATGTAGGATTCACAGTCAATTTGTCTCAATTCACATTTATCTCACCCATTTGTCCCACAAGTCGATTCATCCCAATTCATTTCCATTCCATTTCACGTTCGTTCCAGTTTTTGTTTTGGTCAGCATTACGATCTTGGGTAGGGTGATGTCGATTTCTATGTTTGTGTACAAGGAGTTGAAATCGGCGTACGGTGTGTGTCTTGTCAGTTTCTGTTGCAGGTTACAGTATACGGTTACTGACATGCTTGCTGACTACCCAGCACCACCACACTGTATACTGTATAACCAAAGACACTAGAAAAAGAACTAATAACTGTACGTTGCGTATAGGGCATATTTGTTTGTAGTGGGCTAACCTTAAATCTGACGAATCTACTTGTAGGACAATTGGCTTGTGGGACGAATGACTTGTGGAACGAATCAACTTTGAGACAGATAAACTTGTGGGAAGAATAAACTTGTGGAACGAATAGACTTTGGGACAAATCGACCGCCCCCCCCATGTGTAGCAGTCATGGCAGTTATTGAAATCAACAACAAGCTAAGTGTCAATGGGCATGTTGTGTGAGAGATGTATCATCTGAAACTGAAATGAAGGTGATAATCATTGACCCATTACCCATCAGCCCGCGACCAATTGACACCCCTGCAAGTTCGACTGTATTCTTAGTTAAGAGTGATTCCAGTTTGTTTTGATATTAGGCAGTCTACGTGCCCTGTAGTGTGTATGTACGCACTAAATGGCAGAGCTCCAGAAGGAGTACCTACACTGTATGCAAATTTTTTTTTTAAATATGCTAATTTATTCATAATGTAGCAGTTTCTGTGCTCATGAATATTCATTAATTTGTGGGTCAATACATTTTAAAAGAGTTAGAAAGGGGGATTAGCAATCCTTAGGGGGTCAATACAAAAGGGACCCATTTGGAGAGCAGCCATGCTCCTCGTGTCTGTTGTTGCACGTGACCTACAGCTGTCAACTGTGTTCGTTCTTCGACTATGTTTGTTCTTCGACGACTTCGACTGGCTTCCATGTGGGGTAGTATTCTTGTGTTCTGTTTTCCTGACTTGAGTTTTTGAATCTGCTGTTTATGATTTTAACGTCTTTCATGTCTTTTGTAGGAGTGTCCAATCCGTGATTCGAACTTGCGATCTTTGAGTTCCCAGCGCACTGTCTTGTCCACTGTACCACGAGTGTCTTCACACAGGAGTTAGGATTTAAGTCCTACATGTATTCATAGGAGCACTGTCTTCACTAGCATTCAAAAATCTAACTAAACATACTGGATTCGAACCAGCGATCGCTCACATTGCTGACATAGTACAAATCAACTGAGCTATTTGGGTAGTCATGCAAATTAAATAATTTGTTGTCATATTTAGCTTTATTGCCAAATGGTGTTTGCGAGAAAAAGATGGGCAGGCAAGGGAATTGAACCCAGGTCCTCCTGATCACTATGTAGAGAACTGACCCACAAGACCACAATGGATTGACTGGATGTGTTTGCATTTGATAAGACTATATAGTGTGTATATATATAGAAATACAACATATTTTTATTATTGAGTTACAATTGTCCAAAAAATTGCCAATTTTGTGTTTTTACTTGTGTAAACTATATGCATGCCATAACCCGTTAGTGTACATCTTGCCAATTGGGTGTTTGCCATTTGCGTTGCCCATACCTGACCCGACCCTAACCCCAATGCCAAGACACGTTCCTGTTAATAATTCTGTTGCCCATACCTGACCCGACCCTAACCCTAATGCCAAGACACGTTCCTGTTTATAATTGCTCAATAATGATACTCTGTTGTGCACTGTCTGCGGGTAAGTTGCATTGATGTCAACTGATTAAACAAGTCGCGTTTAAGTAATTTCCACTATTAACAAGTGGTTAAATTGTGGCAATAAATGTGTGGACAAATATTTGAGATTAATTTTGGTGTAGACAACTCTCGTTTAATTATTTTACACCAATACAAGTTGTTAAATTGAGAGAATAAATGTATGGACAAATATTTTAGACTTATTTTGGTGTAGACAGCTCTCGTTTAATTATTTTACACCATTACAAGTTGTTAAATTGAGAGAATAAATGTGCGGACAAATATTTTAGACTTATTTTGGTGTAGACAGCTCTCGTTTAATTATTTTACACCATTACAAGTTGTTAAATTGAGAGAATAAATGTATGGACAAGTATTTGAAACTTATTTTGGTGTAGACAACTCTCATTTGATTAATTCCAACAATTACAAGTTCTTAAATTGACAGAATGAATGTATGGACAAATATTGACCATTATATTTGTGAGTAAATACCTGTTGTTTAATTAATTTCCACCTTTACAAGGTTGAGAGAATAAATGTGTCGACAAATATTTGATACTTATTTAGGTGTAAGAACTCGTGTTTGACCAACTTCCACCATTGCAAGTTGTTAAAATAATGAAATAAATATACTGGTATCATTGGATATTTGATTTAATTGTGAAACTTTCTAACAAAATGTTAACTGCTGGCTTCGAACCCTCAATCAAC